TAACTCCAACTTTTTTCATTACTTTCAATGAAAGTCCATTAGTATTTCTTCTTTCTTCAACTTCTTTATTATGTTCCATATTTACTTTTACTCCTTAGTCTCTGGCTTAAGGCAAATAAGGACTAGAAGAAATAGTTCTTAAGTTTTAAAATCTCTTTTCTTTTGAAAATTTTTTTAGACAACCTTCAGAGTCCTCTTTAAAAATCCTACTGCTTATATTAGTTCACCCAACTTTTCTCAGTTAATTTCCATTTCAATAAAATTGCAATTGTTTGTTTTTGCTACTAAACTGCTTTATATTTTCATCTACAATTTTTTCTTTTTTCTTGTGCCCTTTCCAATTATATTTTTATTTTTATTTAAAAAATTGATTGTGTTTTGTTTCTTCTTTTTGCGGTTCGTGCCTTTGCTAGAAATACATGTTCGTGTCAAGTTAAGAACTCTAATATTTAATCGTCGGCCAGGTCGCCCACTGTGAGCGTGGCTGGGGGCGCTGTGGCCGCTGCTGCGGTCACACTGAAGGGCAGACCGTGCTGCGTGGCGGAGGCCCAGCTGCGGCGTGGTAGTATCCGGCCAAAGTTGAAGTACTTCTGCCTCAGCTTGTCCTTTATTTCGTCCTCGTTCATGATGGCGCTGGCCTCGCGAAAGTTGAGGAAAATTCGTCCCTTTTCGTCCGTTTTGATGGGCAGAATTTCGGTGCAGACGTTGCGCGCCTTGAGCAGGAAACCCTCCTCCTCCTGGGTAGTGCTGATGAGTGCTGCACCGTCACCCTGGCACAGCTGAGCCTCGGGCAGCACGACCACGGTGTCCAGGCGCGAGTCCATGGACTGGGAGCGCGGCGGCTTGGCTGTGGCCACATGGTGCTTCTTCTTGCGCAGGCAGAAGGGATCCCGATCGCTGGCCTTGACGTACTGCACCACCGGCCGATTGACGCCCCACTTGGGGCGATCGTCCATTTTGTGGGCATCCTTGTCCTTGCCCTGATTCTTCTTGTTCTTGTCCTTCTCCTTGTCCTTGTCCTTGGTCTTCGCCTTGAACGTGGTCGTCGTCGTCGTTGTGGTGGTCGTCGTTGTCTCGTGGTCCTTCTCCGCCGCCGACTCCTTCGCCGGCTGCGTTTGGGTCTTCGACGTCTGCGTCGTGGTCGTGGTGGATACCTCGCGCTTCAGCAGCACCTTGTAGAAGTTGTCGTGGAACAGACACAGATCGCAGTTGAGCGGCAGCTCCGTCTGGGTCTCCACATCCGCTTGCAGAGCGCCGTCAGTGGCTCGCCTCAGCCTGCTCGCCGACTCGCTGGCTGCAGCAGGAGTCTTCACTGGGATCAGCGCCAGTTTGTCCTGCTCGGCTGGCTGTCGCGCAATGTCCACCTCCAGAGAATCGGGCGAGAAGAAGCCGCTGGCCGTTTCCAGGGCAGTGCGTCCCGAGCGCGCCGTGTGCAGCAGCTCCTCATCCTCCTCCTCCTTCTCCGCCTGGTAGCCATCCTCGGTGCAGATCGAGGTCTCTGTGCGCTGTGTCATGGTCGCCTTGGAGTAGCTCCGATCCGTGCTGGCCGGCGGCTGCACCGGCGCCGGCTGCTGCATGAAGTACGTGGCGATCTGCAGATTCCCAATGGCATTCTGCAGTCCGAATATGTCTGTGGTCACGGGCAGCGGGATCAGTGTGGCTGGCTGCATGAGCAGCGCCAAGTTCTCCTTCTCCTCGACAGAGCTCGTCGGCTTCGCTTTCGGCTTCCCGGCTGCCTCCTCGGCTGCGCCCTCTGCTGTTGGCTGCTTGATGGGCTTCGTTATGGTGCGCCTCAGATTGATGGGCGTGCCAATGAGCACTTTCTCCTCGGAGACCATAGATGGTGGAGGAGCAGCAGCAGCTGCAGCTGGTGGTGGTGCAGCTGCTGCTGCTGGTGCTGCTGGAGCAGGAGGCGGCGCTGCACGTGGCGTATGACTCTCTGCATCCGCTGCATGCTCTAGTTGCTCCTCGACAATCTCTTCCTCTTCCACGGAGAGCACCTGCAGCAGCTCCTGCTTGTCGGTCTGCTCCTGGCTCTGGACTCGCTCACGATTCTTGCGCTTCTTTTGCTTCTCCATTTTGGCGGCCACCTCCGCCTTGGCAATGGCATCCAGCATCGCCTGCTGCTTCTTGCGCTGCGCTTCCTCGCGCTCCAACACCTGGCGACGCTCGTGCTCCAATCGCTCCTGCTCCAGTTGCTTCTGCCGGCGCATGCGCTGCTCCTCCAACTGCTCCTCCTGCCTATGCCGCTCCAGCTCCCACTTGCGTATCAGCTCGCGCTCGTGCAGCTGCTTCTTGATCGCATTGTGATACTCGGCCGCCTTCCGCCGCTTGTCCATGCGCTCGGCCAGCGTGTGCGCGTCGAGCGGCGCATTCTGCCCGCGCAGATAAGTGGACGAGGATTGCACCGACTGCGCATCGTCCTCGCTGTCCTTGGGATCGTGCACGCCACGATTCAGCCAACCCGCCGGCACCGCCACCGCCACCGGCTGCTGCCCGTTGTAGTTGGCCCAGCGGGCGCGCTCCCGATCCCGATCCCGATCCACGTAGTAGTCGCCCTGCTCGCAGCTGTTGCTGATGTGCACCTGGTAGGTGTTCGACGTGGACACATCACGACTGAGACTCATGTTCGAGCACGTAGACGGCGCTGGCATATAGCAGCAGCTGCTCAGAGAGAGAGAGAGAGAGAGAGAGAGAGAAGCCCCATTAGCCCCGACTCGAACTTGGTTAGACTCTAGGAGTTCGCTACTTACCTGTCTGCCAGGTAGCCATCGGCTGCCAGTGGCTCATAGTTGTGGCGCTGCGCGGCGCCACGGCGCATCGGCTTGGGCGCCTGAGCGCCAGCTGTGGGCGTGGGCGTGGGCGTAGGCAGGTGCTGGGGCAGGGGCAGGGGCATGGCCGCCCCCTGTATCGAACGCCTCGAACGCGAGGCGTTGCCAACGCTCTCCTCGGTCTGGCTGGCGCTGCCCATCCCACTAATGCTCCCATTTTGGCTGGCTGCATCGTTGTACCAAATGTCGGGCGTGTGTGTGTTCTTGGGCGTGTCGCTCAGATAGCCGGAAGTGTCCTCTTCCTGGCAACCGGCTGGCGCCTGGCTCCCATTCGGATTGTTTAATCGATGTGGCATGTTGGCGTTGCCGGGATCAATGTTTGTTCCCTTCACGTTGCCATTGACTTGGCCAAGTTGATTGGCTGCCTTTAGCTGCTGCTGCTGCTGCTGTTGCTGTGGTCCCTGTTGCCTGCGCCCTGCCTGATACTCCCGCTGCCTGATTGTGGGCAAACTGGGACTCCTTAGCCTCTGCTGCTGCTGCTGCTGGTGCGGTGGATGTTGCATGCGCCCCTTGGCCGTTTGCAGCGCCGTGGGCACCAGCTCCACGTAGCGGCCGGGTGGCGCCTGCAGCTGTCGCTCGGGCATGCCGGGCGCATAGCTGCCACGTCGCTGACGCCTGTACAGCAGTTCATCATCCTCAAAGTCCGCATCGGCGTCCACGTCCAGCTCGTCCATGTAGCGCTCCACCTGGTTCATGTAGTCCTCGCTGCGCTGCCGCTGCACTTGGCGATAGTCCGCGGCGGGCTGCGGCCGCACAATCAGCTGCATGGGCGGAGCGGGCGGCTGGCGGGCATGGCTGGAGGTCTGGTTCGAGGAGCTCTGGCTGAGATCCAGATTGGAGTAGTACGTGCGTATGGAGGTGCGCTCGATCTTGTGGTGCGAGGTGGACGAGGTGTGCTGATGGTGGTACAGCTCATCCATGCGCGCTATCTCCTCTGCCAGGGATAGACACCGTTAGGAGCTTCTGTCTCGGAGCCTGCTCTGCACTCACCTCTTTCCTTGGCCCACTGCTGCTTCTTCAAGTCCAGCAACCTATGCGTTTGTCTAGCTTCCGGACCCGTAATCATGTCTATTCACCTAGTTCATTGCACCTGCACAACTGAGAGAGTGACAGAGAGAGAGAGAGAGCGGGAATTGACGTCACTGGAGTTGGACACCACGACGGGACAAGGCTAAGGCAAACACTAAATGCGAACAACTCAACGAAATTCCATCAAACTCGCGACACTGAGCCAAAATTCGATTTGTTTTGCATTGGAATGCCCTGCCGAACGTCGCCCTGGCAACGTGGCACGTGTAAACAAATGGGGAATATGTCCCAAACAGCTCGACTACAATTGCATACCCTTTCTGAAATCAGCTTAGCTATGGAGAAGTTTAGATAATTTTATTAAAAATCAATTAAGTTTGCGTTAGACAAATAAGAGTTAGGGTTAGTCCCAGTCCCTCCCAGTCCTACATACATATATACCTCTGCCACCTCCACTTTCAAAATCGATATACCCCATGGCAAGTGCATGGCAAAACTTCCTCAATGACTGTGACGGGGCTAAAAGTCCTTGCACTCCACGCGCAGTGGGTTAATGCAAGCAGGTGCGCCTCGCGTGCGAATCGCTCATTGTCTAAGAGTTATGTGAGGCTCGTACACCCCTAAAAATATACGCAAATGGGCTACACAAATAGACATTTGAATACATTAAGCGTGCAGAGACTTGAGAATGGGCCAGCCCCGTTAACTGTTTATTGATTGGTCGCATTCGTTAGCCATGCAAATAAGTTCCTTGGGCTGGGCAGCAACAAGTCAGGCCGGCCAAGTCAGTGGCCTTATCAACTGGATCAGAGAGTAAAAAAGGCCAAATGCGTAGGTGTCAGATGCGGAACGTCCTTCGTTCGTGCCCAAAGAATGCAACTCGATTAAGAGGGTACAACCTACCTACCTCTATCTAGCTCTGCCTACCTACCAGAGCGTCTCTGAACAGAAAACTTTATTTCCCATGGTCAAATAGAAATGGCCAAAGATAAAAGGAAGAAATATCTCATAACCCATTTTCCATAAACATACATAAACCACAAAAGCCACAGCAAAAGTTAACCAGACTCATTGTTGTTGTTTGTGTTGCTTGTGTTGTTGTTGCTGTTGGGTCTGGTTTATACGCGTGGGCGTAGAAATCACTGCCAGTCAAAAGGTCATGTTATGATCTTGAGCGAACTATGTGTCTAAGTCCAACGATGACGCTGAGAAGCATGGGAGCCCGAGCCCCAGCTCAAGCGATTGCAGTTGCAGCAACACAACAACAACAGCAATGGAGATCAAAGACACAGAGCAAAAAGAGCAGAGCAAAACGGATCAGTGTAGAGCGAAGCTGCGGATGGTACGGCAATCAAGAAATCCCACTTGATACAAGTGCATTTATAAGACATTATAATGAGTTTTATAAACTTAAACAGGGTCGCTCAACGCTCATCGCTCGTCGGTCGTCGCTCGTCGCTCGTCGCTGCCTTAGGGCGTCACTTAACTAGACTTGAACTTGGACAGGCTCTTGACTCGGGCACTGCGCAGCATTGATCATAGCTGAAGATGATAATTGCTATGAGCTAGGTCAGCAGCCAGACAGTTGGGCAAGCGCAGCGTATGTCACCAATCCACTCTTACCCATAGAAAGTGATCAGTG